TTCCTTTTCTCTACCCCTTTGAGTTTTTCTTTGTTTTAGACTTTTCTTTTTTTATCGTTCAACTTTCTAACGTTGCAGGTAGTTCAGGGTCGTAAGGTTAGTAGGGAAAATTTGAAATCATTTGTGTGTTTTCTAGTAATCTGTTTGCACACGGCTCAGAGCTTCCTGTCGCTTTTCTTTCATATCATGCCAGGGGCTGGAAGACATGTGTGTGGGCTGATGGTGGAGTTACTTCTGAGCTCTGCTGGGGAATTGTTCTCAGCTTAGCTTCACAAGGATAGTAATGGTTGTTCTCTGTGCTTCCTATGCTCCCGGACATGGAGGGTGAAGGATGTACTAGGGGTGCTATTGATGTTTTCAAAGGCAGAGAGGGTGTGAAGTCCATGGACCAGAAATTATGGAAAAATGATAAGCGGTCAAGAGACAGTGTGGCATTATGATGATGGCCATTAGTCTGGGGAGCTTGCTGCTTCTAATAGGTCCCTTGGTTATGTTTCTAAACTTTCCTGAAAGTCACCGTCCTTACCTATGAGCCAGCTAATAGCCATATCTGCCTCCTGAAGTCTGTAGGGCATATGTCACTGAGAGAGCTCAAGCTAGGGCTGAGTGCCCTGTGAGAAGATCACAAAGGGTCACTGTTGCTTAGGTCATTGTCATCATTACATATTGAGAACTAGAGAGCTATAGAAAGCACATGCAATGGCCCCTCAGAGAAGACAGCTCCCCCGAGGCATGCCTCTCCCCTGCATTCCATAGTCTGTTTTCCTCTGTCGTTCCACTCCATAGGGCTTTTCTGGTCCTGTTATCTGAGTCTGGAGAAGACAAACACTCACATAGGCAGCCTGAGGAGACCACATTCTTGCTTACTGGTGGCCTGGTAGCCTCTCCAGGCTGTGAAGAGGCCACGAGTGTTCCGTCTTTCCACAGCACCTCATGGTTTCCCCCGAGTGTAATATGCATGCATTTTTACTGTTGAAGAGGTGGAGACATTAGAGAGTCAATCAGAGGAAACGAAAGCTACCTACAACTTTACCAGAGGCCTTTTCTGTGAACACGTCACTGCCTCCCTTTTGAGGTGTCCTCTGTGTAGTTACACATCTAGTTCTTGGGTAATCACATGACATGCATAGTACTCCAAACTGGTAGTATTCTACTTTGTGTTTTTGATAATATTTTCCCACAGTAATTTATTTACAGTGTTACTTCCTGTGTAAGTATAAGGGATGAGTACACATATAACAAGGAAGATAAATCACATCTAATGTAAGAATAAAATGCTCTTTTAGTGTAGATCTTTTATTATTACTGTCTTAACTTCTTTTAATTTTAGATTTATTTTATTTTGACTAATGAGTGTGTGTGTGTGTGCGTGTGAGCTCGTGCATGCATGCAGTACCCCAAGATATTAGAAGAGGGTGTTGGATCCTCTGGAGCTGGGTTGATTTAAAGCACTTGTATGCTACCCAAGGACTTTTTTCTCTGGAAGACCAGTAAGCAGTTTAACCACTGAGCCGTCCCTCCAGCTTTTCAATACCTTGAAATTTTTACTTCATCATTTCTTATTGAGTCAGACTTTGAGAATTACTCCTCTTTCTTAACATATTGAAACATGATAGGCAGCAATCCATGTGCGGATATGAGTGCAAAATTAGCCGGGTCATTATTTTAAGGTAACTTAATTGAGGAATGTGTTAACTATTACTGGGTTAAGAAGAATAGAGTGATGTAATGATTTTTTTTAATTCTTTTTTTTATTTTTATTTAAATTTATTTATTTATTAAGGATTTCTGCCTCGTCCCCTCAACCGCTTCCCATTTCCCTCCCCCTCCCCCATCAAGTCCCCCTCCCTCATCTGCTCGAAGAGCAATCAGGGTTCCCTGACCTGTGGGAAGCCCAAGGACTGCCCACCTCTATCCAGGTCTCGTAAGGTGAGCATCCAAACTGCCTAGGCTCCCACAAAGCCAGTACGTGCAGTAGGATCAAATGATGTAATGATTCTTATACCTATTGGAGTCAAATACCTAATAGATTTATGAGAACATTTACACATGAATTTATTCCATGCATCCTTGGAAAATTATGTATGAAGGCATTTATTTCATAAAATATTTTAAATTTTTTATTTTTATTTTCTATGAATGAATGTTTTGCCTGCATGTATGCATATGTATCATGTGTGCACCTACTGCCTATATAGGTCAGAAATAAAGGTATTGGATCCCTAGTGCCTATATAGGTCAGGAATAAAGGTATTGGAACTGGAATTGCATATGATCATGGGCTACCATGTGGATGTTGGTGACTAGGGACTGAATCCAGGTCTTCCGCAAGAATAAATAGTATATTCTTAGCCACTGAGCCATCTCTCCAGCCCCTCATTAAATATCTTTTACGAACAGAATAGGAATTCAACATCTTCTAATCTCAAAAACTGTTTAATGGGAGAAAGACAATCAGGAAATTCTCAATGGCAAACAGTAAATAGGTTTCTAAGAATTGTACGTAGCATAAAGGTCACAACTGTCTGGATTCCTATGAAGAGGCAGACTACAACTCTTGCTTGAAAATCTCTCTGACCTCAGAGAGAACACACGGTGGGGCTTCAGAGACTAGCTGAGCACTGGATACTCTCTGAAACTGGACCTAGTTTCTCTCTTGTTTCTTACGCAGTATTAAATTAAGTTTCATTGTTTCTATGCCTACAAACTCTAAGTGCAGATTAGCAGGTGCAGAGGACAAAGACACAGAAGAAAACAGAAATAATGTCAAGTGCTTGACTGTTTGGAAGCTTTTTAAGGCATGGAAACAGCATTTTCTACTTCAGCAGGCATTTAGTGTTTTTCTGTATTGCAGCAAGCTATCAGACAGGGGAATGCAAACATGATCTTGATGTATCAAGGTTAAGTTGCATTACATATGCTGTACATATTCGAGGCAGCATTCAAAGCACTTTGGAAGGAATTCAATAAGAATAGAATACTTTTTCCTTTTCATCTATTCATTCATAGTCACACAATACACACATAACACACACAATACATAACACACACAAACACACACAACACATAACACACATACCCACACAACACATAACACACACACACATACACCAAGCTACACTTAGAGAACCTTCTCTCATATTCATGTCTTCCTCATTTTTGTCTTTTTAAAAACTTAACCTGAGTCTAATTAGTGCTGCCCCTGTGTCCACAGGCAGGACCACCCACTGGAGCCTGATCCGCCTATCAGGGGCCACATCTGTAAAGAAAGTTGTCTTCCTCTCTCCTGGCAGCCATCAGCTACCAATAGACCCTCAGCTACAGGAAGATGTAACGCTTCCTGAGCTTTGGAGGGAGGTGGCATGACCCAGATGGTTCATTTGTGGCCAGTCGCTCTATAGATATTTATTCTCTGCCTGCTGACCAGTTGTGAGTCTCTGTATCAATTGTTGTCCCCTTCACAAATGTGCATTGCCAAGGAAGGCTGAGGGCCACACTCACCTGTGGGTGTAGAGAGGTGTGTATTTAGAAGGGAGCTTGAGACTCTGCCTATTTAGCAAAATAATAATAGGTTTGTTTTTTTTTTTCCTTCCATGAGCTTCCCAGTCTAGGGCAAAATTTCAAGGCAAAATTGTCGCTGCTTTTTTTTTTTTGTGAGTGAATCTTAGCTTTTCCCTTGGTTTCCAGAGTTCCACTGTGGCACGGTCATCTTGAAACATCGCTTTGTGAATCTCTAGCCAATCAGCTCAGACCTGCTGTGTATTCTAGAGAAGAGACTAAAGCATTTCTGATTCCTGAGATGACTTTACCCTGGTGTCTTCTCTGTGGTTCCTGGAACATTTAATGACATTACTTGTGGATTTTGGCATGGACAACTTTCTCGTCCTTCTGCCCAACACAAGACAGCTTCCCTCGGTGGCAACCAGGGCCTGAATGTGATTTCTCAGCACCTCGCCCATGATTCTCAAAAACATTTGAACTCGGTGGTTTGCACGCTTAAATAAAACCTCGTTCTTTGTCATTGCCATCCAGTAACATAAACAAAAGCTGGAGCTGACTCACTCTAGACTGCCCTAGAGGATATACTATTCTCTGTGTGTTCAGATTATCCCACAGCATTGAGCCGAGTGGGCCATTACTACCTCACAGAGGGAGAACTTTTAGAATGCAGCTCTATCATGGGTCAAACAGTCAAATGCCAGGGCTGGATTTTTTTTCCTTAAGATCCAGATAATGCCCATTTATGACCATTAATAACATTTTCTTTATATAAACTGAGATAAGAGTAATAAAAAATGCATTCTGCTTCATAATATAATTGGATTGCCAACAGAGTTCAGAAATGAACTTTCTTAGTGCGCATGGGATATTGCATGGTGGAAGGGTGGCCATCCGACCGCCCTCTCCCCAACCTTCCATTTCTCTTTTATAGAGAACCTGTAGTTTAGCCCGAGCCATATGCTATCCCAGGAAGGCAGATCTTTGCTCTCCCCTTTAAAGTGCTTTGATTGCGCCTCTGGTAGTCAATGTGGCAAATGGTCTTCAGGGCGTTTCCTACATGTGTTCTGCAGCTAATTAGCGTCCCCGGGCCTCCTGTTTTCCTACCTCCGTGCCCTCCATGTGCTGAAGAGCTCAGTTCAAACACCAGGCACACGGAGAAGCATGGCAAAGCTCTGTTCTGCTTTGGGCATCTGTTGCAAGCAGGTTTTCCAAAGGATATCCTGTAGGAGATAAACCATTTCATTCGGCCAGGTTCCCTTTCCAAATCAGGAAACTCAGGGCCTCTGTGGAGGAAAACTCAGATAACGCTGTTGTGGCTGCACACAGAACACTTGTAAACGTTGTTGTCAGCATCTTTCCTACAGGTTCCATCCAGATTGTGTCCACTGACAGGTTAATGATGTGTTTTAGAGCGCTGTTTATGGAGAGCCAGTAGGGCAACTGGGACCCGAGTGCTTTAGGTGTTGCAGTGACCGTTCCCCCTTCCATGTCTCCTGCAGTTGATTACTCCCCATGCCATCCGTGTGCAGACACCTCCTCGGCACATCCCTGGCGTTGTGGAAGTCACATTGTCCTACAAGTCCAAGCAGTTCTGCAAAGGGACTCCAGGCAGATTCATCTATACAGGTAAGCAGGACTACAGATAGTCATTCTGGAGCTGGCATGGCCTCATGAGATGTGTGTTTTACTTGAATGTGTATATATATATATATATATATGTATGTATATGTGTGTGTATAAATATGCATGTATTTTTTTAAAAACTTGTTTCTGTTAAGACAGATTTTCCCATTTCAACAAATATAGGACCAAAGATATTGCAATGATTATTATTCCTAAAAGCTGATGTAGGTGGAGTGGTTTTGAATGATGAAATAATTGGTTAACTACTAAAAATAATATGAGAACTAGAAGAGAACAGGCAAACACTAGACTGGACCAAGGTCTCCCTTCCAGCTTGGCCAGCTTGTTGGAGTTTGCTCTCTAGCACTGAGTTGAGCTTTAATGAACAGTGCTCCTTTCTTCAAGCCAACATTTGAATTAAACACATTTGGTAGTTTTCATAGTTTATTCTGGGTTGGAGCTTTCTTCACTCCCCAGTAAACTGTACTCCCCCACTCTCCCCAACAGCTCTGGCACATGGCCCTGCCTTGTGGTGAGCAGCTAGGGTTACAGGGTGCATCTGAAATCCCTCCCACCAGGCACAGCCAATCAGGCAGGATCTGGACTGGCAGGATCTGGAAATACATGGAATGGGCAAAGCAAACACCCCAGGCTCTTTTTGACCATTCAGAATCTGCTATGGAAGGGGGAAGGGAGACGATGCTCAAAGGTGAGGCCTGGCCTGATGTTAAGGACCACACATGGCGTGGTAAATTCCAGGGCCCTTTGCTTCCCATCACCTGACTAGCTCCATCCATGATTTTTTCCCTCCGTTTATTATTGAAGGTCTGCCAGGTTTTTCTAGGTAGAAGGGAAGTTGTTTTCACACAAAGGGTCTGGAGCGCAAAGCTGGTTCGGTTAGTACAGCCCAATTAAATCCTGTAATTCAATGGGCAGATTTCTTCTTTGTTGCAATCTTCTACTTCAAAGTGTCTTCTCCTCTAATTTTATACTGTGAATTAAACCAAGCATGCTCCATAGTCACCCAGTCTCTATCTCTCTCACAATGACAACACACACACACACACACACACACACACACACACACACACCAAGCAAAAATCTCAGCTAATATATCTTGACCCTCAGAAATGCCTCCCAGCCCTTTAAACAAAATACAGGGTTGGTGCCTGCCTGCCGATTAGTTTTAGTTAATTGAAAATTATAGGATTGACCCAAGAGGAAAATTTTGTTTGCACTCCAATCACTTTTACAAATTAAGGAAAATTACCACAATTTTGTTTAGCTCAGGTTTCACACTGAGTTCACGAAATTAGCTCAGCCATCCCAACAAAGTCAGCACTTCGTTAGTGAGTGCTTGAAAAAAAAAAAAAGAAGTCGATCTAGAGTTTTGCGGTGTATACAAGCGAAGCATAGAAAAGCTAGGATGCTTTAGAGAAGTGGGCCAAGTGTTTTTAATTAGGCTCATTGGTTCAGCAGAAGTTTTGAAGAAAATCAAAATAGCAGATTAGCTGTTTCTTTTAAATTTAGGATTTCTTGCCATTCATTTTTCCCATGAGAACTTTCACATAACACTGTATTTTTTCTTTTTCTTTCATTCATTCTTTCTTCTTCCTCTTTTTTCTTAAATAAGCCTCATTACGGGCTTGCAGGAAAAAAAGACCAATTGAAATTTCTGATACTGTAACACTCCCCACTGTCATTCCAAGGGATGGGAGTTTTTCAAAGTGTTCCTCGCTGAACTTGCTGTTCTGGAACATATTACAAAACCACAGAGGCCAAATGTTTTCTCTGAGGACTTTGGACTGTGTTTTTGGCCAAAAACATTTAGGCCTTGCTGGTTGCTTATTTACTCTGCCATTAAGAACAAGAAAGAAAGAAAGAAAGAAAGAAAGAAGAAGAAGAAAATGCTTGTGGGGTAGGAGGCACCAGAAGCAGTCAGCCATGGTTTCCTCTTTGGTGACAATGTCCTTGCTCATTAATGGTTCCATTTTGTGGTCAGGTCTCATTTAGAAGAAATTATTTTTAATCAGTGCTCAACAAAATATGCCCTAGAGCTACCTGGTCATACATGTCTTTTAGAATCACTACCATTACATTACTTAAATTCTCAAACAAAACAAAACACCTCCCCCTTTACAAAAACAAAACAAAACAAAACAACACACCACCACCACGAACAACAACAAAATCCAAAGCAAACAAAAAACCTTAGGGACTGACCAACCCCACTATTATTTAAGTTTTTTTTTTTTGAAAAAAAAATTCAAAAATTGCCTGCCATCAATTTAAGAAATCACATCTTGGGAAATCTGTGTCACACTGGAATTAAAATGAGAGATAAAAACAGCAGCTCTGTAAGCTGGGGGAAGTAACTACGTAGGAAAGTGTGTCGATATGCTCACGTGTGGGTTTAAAGAGACAAAAGCATTCATGCCTTCAACTGGGGGCAACTGACAAGAAGACACCTTTTGAAATGTACTCTAGGAAGGAATCTAACCTCTTCATGTGCTAGAAAAATAAAAGTAGAAAGAAATCAGGACAAAGACTCCTTGGCTATTAATAGTTATGGTGACATCACATGTTTTTCACCAGGGAACTTCTGATCCTCGTAATCACAGGCATGTGCTTGTCCTTTTGAAGGGTCCTTAGTGCTGGCTGGGCTCCCAGCTCTTGTGTTTTATTCCGTTTACCTCTGTGTTTGTCACTGCTTACTAGTGAAGGTGGAGATAAGGGGTCTCAACGCCTGTCTGTTCTTCATGTGCACACAACAGGTCATTGTGTGTGTGTGCAAGCCCCTCTGTTGCCCACTCCCAGGAGTTCACTGCCCACTTTGCTCTCTAATCTGTACTACTTCAAGATGTGAGGCTCACCTTTCTTGATTGGGAAACTAATCTTGATTCTTAATGGAACATCACTGGTATTGTTCCCCTTTAAAAGAATAAAGGAAATATCGCAGAACTGAAAACTAATGCTCCGATGAAGGTACTTTCGCTGTTCTCTGAGTACTCAAGAGAGTTTGGATATAGGAATGTGGAAGGCTCTAAAATTCTACTTTCAGCAAAGGCAGAAAGTAAAATCAGACAGGAACACCCTGGTCTAGTCGATGCAAATAAAGACAGCGTTTTGGAGGAAGTGGTCTGACTAAACACAGATCGGCTGAAAAGCGGCCTCATTTTTAAGGTTGCTGGGCACAACCCTCCATTGCTGGACCTCAGACTTGAGCATTCTTGTGCTCTAGATATATGATGTTCTTGAATTTTCCCAATCGGAATCATGGAAGAGAGTTGGGTCCTGACTTAAATAGAACATAGAAGCCCAATAGCACTGGCCCGGTCAAACTTTATTGTGTCTCATTAACTCATTTGCAAATGTGGGGGCCAGGCTGATCTTACATGTTAAAAGTTTCTAAATGGAAGAAATTAAAACCCCATCTAGCCACAGGATTATTTTCAGAGTCCTGTGATCCTGTTTCTGGTCAGTCTGTCTAGGTAGACCAGGTAAAGACCACAGGACTCCTGACCAGATCTCACTGGTCAGGTCAGGTCTGCCCAACTTGTTCATGATTCACACCCCTTATTTTCTTATAGCCATTTGGTCTTTAAATGACCCATTTCCTTTAGGAGTATGATAGTTCCTCCTAATCCTTCAGTGAACTTGGATGCTACTGAAAGTTTCTTAGTAGCTGTTAGCAGTTTCTTCAAAATTCTTAGAACTGGGTTTTCTAGTAACAAGTGGCCACATCTAAAGTTAGCACTTTGCTTTCATTCTAGTAACTTCTTCATGGGAAAGGCCTCTGTGTCCAGGGAAAATGAGGGGAAAAAATAACAAAAGGACCACAGGATAATGTTTGACCAACTCAGGGCTGCACTCCAAGCTGGTGAGGGACACTGGTGAGCATCCCGACAGTTCTGCCTGTTTTCAGGTTAGGCTTCCTCTCATAATCTTTCTGCCTTCTACTTTCCCATTTTAACCAAATTCACCCAACTTGTGGCTACTGAGGAAGAGCCAGTGCAAATAGTGTATTCATTTTGGAATGAAACTTCTTCCTGAAATCCTTCCTGTTAGTGTTTCTCATCCCTGGGTGATGCAGAACAACACCCTCTGTCCACAGGATGGGCCATACAGGCAAATGTGTTCTGTGGCTCTTGATGACTCTAAGTTTTCATTTCCCCCCATCCTGATCACAGTTGTTTTAACCCTCTGCCAGTAAAACAGGGCAGCGAAGGGATCCCCCCACAGAATAAACGCTATCACCTTGGGGCGAACAAAATCATTCTCTTTAAGTAGGAGGCAGAGAGCTAGAACCCAATCACTCTCCTGTTCTGTAGTTTTATCCTTACGTGAACTCCTTGCTGCCTGAATTTTCTGAAAAGCCACTATCTCATCATTGCTCTGAGGAGAAACATCCCTGTTTGCTCACAAGACGTAAGGTTGCCGGGCAGCGCCTTTGCCTTGGCATTTGTAGCTCCCCCAGCTTTGCCATGCTGTCTTCACAGCTCCTCACCATGCCTCTGATGCATTCTGTATTTGACTACCTGGGGCACAGCAATTGCCTTTTGCATAAGCACAGGCGGGACTGTTCTAGCTCTGCTCCTCTGACTGTTCTCTGCCTGCTGCACTTACCTGGACGAGAGATGTAGTATAGATTCTTACTTGCCTCGGACCCCCGTTGTTTTCTCTGTAAGATGGACTAGTTCGAATAGGTAGCTTTGCTATTCCCCGTAATTTGTTGTAATCGGCAGGGGAGTTTCTGTCACTGGATCTCTCTGCTCCTGTACAATTAGACCACCCCCTCATCATTAGCTTCTTTATGTTCAGAGCTCTCTTCCTGCATTGTCTGTGGATAAAACAGAGAGGGAATCCAAAATAGGCCACTAATGTGATAGAGAGAGAGAGAGAGAGAGCCTTTCTCAGTCCTACATGACGTCGTAAGCTGTGTTGAAGTAACTTGACTTAGCATCTCCCGAGGCTGTGATAGGTGTGCCCTGATAATTGATTAA